AGCAAATGCAAAAGTTCCTTTCTGAAAAATTCCATTCTATGTGGCAGTTCCTCTGTGCTTCTGAACAATTCCATTCTATGTGATAGTTTCCACTCTATGCTTCGGTTCCTCTTTTAGGGCATCTCCACCCTGCTTCTGTTTCTCTTTTCAAGACAAGCTCCTTTTTGTGTGATTCAATTAATATAGGAATTAGTTATAGCTGATATAGGAATTAGTTATAGTTGATATAGAAGCTTCTTTTTGTGTGATCTAATCAATATAGTAATTAGTTATAGCTGATATAGGAATTAATAATAGTTGACATAGATAGTTATACATCTTAGCAAAAAATCAGATGATCTAATGAAAAGAGGAATTAATTCTGTAAATGAAGGCATTAGGTAACTTTCCAATACGTACCCTCCCAGTACCCCAGATGATTTTGCAAATATAAGCATTAAGTAATGTTCCAATGTGCCCTCCCGGTGCCCCTTAATTACCTAATGATAAGGGAGAACTAACAACAGCAATTATAAGCAGAAAAAATCCTATATAAACCCGATTCAAAAATGGGTCTTGGCTCTCAGTCTGAAGCCGCTATGACGATGACACCTGAGAGTCCAAGCTAGAGCTTGCAATAAACTCCTCTTGCAATTGCATCGGACCTGACTCCTGGTCTTTGGGGACTTCACGACTTGGGCATAACATACCCACAGTATGCCACCCAACACACGCAGAAGTGTGCATCACCAATCCCGTGGATGGTTCCCAAGTCAATTCATTTGACAAAATCAAGCTTACCCATCACAAAAGAGGAGACTCTACCCTCACGGAACAAACATTGTAAATAAGAAAAGTAAAAGTAAATGTATGAGCCACAGACTATCTATAATCAGAAAGTTTAGGGTAGAAATCCCAGGTATGCTATGTTAGCTTTGTCATCTTGGTCAATTTATTTAACTTCATTGAACTTCAGTTTAGGATCACAAGTTCAAGTCTAGCCTGGGCATCTTAGTGACTTGGAGTGATCCTGTCTCTAAATAAATCTATAGGGCTAAAAATGGAGCTCAGTGTGAAGACCCTCAGTTTAACCCCCAGTGTTACAAAATAATAAATAAATAAATACATGCAGAAAATTGAATAAATAATGTCTGCCTGTCTGGCTGTGCTGGATAGGATGCAGTGTAAAATTCATTGGCTTTGGGATCCATCCAGAGGATTGATGAAACATGTTTCTGGCCACGTGTGGGTTGGTAATGGAGGGATGGCCCTGGTCAGTGTCTGGTACCTTGCTCCTTACTCTCTGGCACTGTTTCCCTGCTCTGCATCCCAGTCACCAAGAACTAAGAAGCTTTACTTTGCTATGCTCTTCTGCCATGACGTTTCTGCCTTGGAATAAGCATATCACGTACTGAATTCCCAGCAATCATGAGCCATATTAAACCTCTCCTCCTTCAAACTGTGGGTGACAGGTATTGTGTCTCAGCAACAGGAAAGCTGAAAGATACATTAGGATTTTGAGGATTCGATTAAATCCATGAAACATCTCTTAATGAAGAAAATGAATCACCTTCATTTTGTAATAGCTAAAATTTGGAAACAGCCCATTTGCCCATCAACTGGAGACTGGATAAAGAATATGTGGTTTTTCTACAAAAGGATGTACTACTCAGCCACAAAGAATGAGAAACTAGAGACATTTATAGCTAAATGGATACATATTAAGTGAAATATATAGGACACACATGTGTAAATACCAATAGTTTCTCTGGTGTGAAAAATTAAAAGTGTAAATAAGGTTCAAATTGTATAATTGATAATGTGAAATAGGAAGAAAAGGGCTAAAGGAGTATGGGAAGTGGGAAGGGTAGGGAAAGGGAAGAAGGGAAAATAAATAATATGAGAAAAGGAAAAACTGAAACAAAGTCTTTGTAAATAGGGAAGGGTGGAGGGGGTAAAGGGAAGGCAGGTGTATGGGGGAAAAATAAGAACCAAGATATGTCATGTAAAGGTACAAGATCCCAGTGATGAATGTAACTACTATATACCTAAAAATTACCAATAAACTTAATGAAAAAAGAAAAAAGAAAAAATTGCCAATACAGCAGTAAACAGAAGTTATGTTTTGCAAACTATAGTAGTTACCTTTGCTAGAGTTCTTGAATTTGGGAGAAACCTTTGAAAAAGTAAATTGAAGCCAGACCAAAGTAGGTATTTAAAGATTAGGAAAACTGGGCAGTTAATGGAGAATAAAAGTCAGTTTTAGAGAATGGTTAGAGCTAGGCAATTTACTTAGAGTTAGGTATTTGGAATTACTTTGTAACTCATTAATGTTTCATTTATTGATGGCATTCCAGTTACACTACCCATTTTATGAGGGTATTTATCCTATTATGCTCACCAGTAGATCCAGTGCCTTACACAATGCCTGGCACATGGTAAATGTTTAATAAATATTTATTGAAACTTTAGTGCTCAGGAAAATGCAAATCAAAACTACACTGAGATTCCACCCCACCCCTGTCACAGTGGATATCATCAAGAACACAAAAAAACACTAAATGCTAGTGAAGGTGCACTAGGGAAAAGGAACCCTTCTATGCTGCTGCTGCTGGGAATCGATATTAGTACAGCCACTATGAAAACCAGTATAGAGGTTCCTCAAATATCTATAAATAAAATTCCTGTTGTGATGGTCATCGCCAATAATCCCAGCACTCTAGGAGACTGAAGCAGGAGGATTAAAAATTCAAACTCAGCTTGGACAAATTGGTGACTTAGCAAGACTCTACCTCAAAATTTAAAAAAAAAAATGTAAAGACTAAATATATAGCTCACTGGTTTAATCCCCAGCACCACAAAAATAAAATAAATAAAATAAATAAAATAATATAACTATCATATGATCCAGCAAATACCCAAAGGAAATGAAAATCAACCTACTATAGAGATACCTCCATACCCATGTTTACTTCACTGCAATTGACAAGAACCAAGATCTGAGACTAGCCTAGGTGCCCATCAGCAGATGATCAGATAAAGAAAATATAGTACACATACACAATGAAAAAAGAACAAAATTATGTCATTTCCAGAAAAATGAATGGAACAATCATCACATTAATCAAAATAAGTCAGAGCCTGAAAGATAAGTATTACATGTTTTCCCTAATATGTGGAACCTAAAAAAAGATGACATGAAAGTAGAAGGGAAAATAATAATAGACAAGTAAAGGGAATAAGCAGGAGTGGCATGGGAAGGGAAATATTAGAGAGAATTAATATGATCAAAGTATGTTATATGCATGTATGAAAAATGTCACAATGAAGCCCAATATTTTACAAAATTAATATGCACTGACAAAACACATATTGGAAATAAATAAATATTTGTTGAAGGAATAAATGGTGAGGATGGGAAGAAAGGGACCAAAGAAGACTTCAAGAATTCAAGCATAGATGACATTGAATGCAAAAGGCTAGAACTGCACAGGAAAGTTAGGCATGGTGACTCACTCTGTAATCGCAGCACTCCAGAGGATGTGGCAGGAGGACTTCTTGAGTTCGCGGCCAGCCTAGGCTACATAGTGAGTTCAAGGCCGGCGTGAATTGCGCAGTGAGACACTGTCTCAAAATAAATAAATAAATAAATAAATAAATAAATAAATAAAAGTACACAGGAAATAATTATTTTAAATTATAGACTTAATAGTCTGAGAAACTTTTAGTGTATTTTAGAGTTCATGTTTGGTAAAATTTGTTTGTGTAATTGTAGCTCAGATAAGATGTTGGGGCTGGAAATAGGTCGTCACTGTTCATTAGCAAATGAACAGCAACTGAGATCACGTGGGTTCCGGGTTATGCTCTGCCCCGGAAGTGACATCAGGCATAGTACACCAGAATCTTAAAGAGGGGAGGCTGAGAAGCCATTACTCTTAGAGGGCGGCAACAGAGAGAGCCAAAGAAAGAGTAAGAAATATGAGTAAGTTTCAAAGAGATAGGTTTCAGGAAGATAGAGAACAATACTATAGAAGGAATGAATACTACAGAGAGAATCCACGAGCCAGCTCCGCACAGTAAGTATACAAAGAAACTATAGATACCCGATTTAACAGCCTGAAAGTCCCTGGTGACTGGGATAAAAGGTTTTGAGGAATGGTGAGGGGAGTGAAGCCATTATTTTGACAGTAGTTATGCAGGTTAATCACTGTCTTAGGTATAAGACAGTTATGATAAAATAATAGAATTTATCTCATAACTAGCGGTGAAGGGCTGGTGGCTGGTACTTTAATTTTTGTGGTGTGTCGGACACATTTAAGATTTTCAAAAGGGGGTATCTGGATGAGGCTTTTCAGTTGAATATGGACAATGTAAAAGTTGATAATTTATGGTACCACGGAGATGGCAGTTGGGGAAGAGATCTTCGAGAATGTTACAGAACTCTAAACCGTCACGTGCTGTATGATTGTGCGCCTTTCCTCAAGCTCCACCCACTCCCTTTTCCTATAGGCTGAGTCTACAAGTCTCTTACTTTTCTCATTGGTCTCCCGCGACGTTTGGCCCCGTCTCCCGGGGTAAAAAAAACGGTCTCTTCAGACCTTTGGGTTTTAGTTTGGCTAGGACATGTATTGGCAAATTGGCGTGTTTTCCTTTGGAGTATCCGGTTTACAAAAGCAGATTTTTTTTTTCTTTTAAACCAATAAATATTCAGCAAGTAAGGTGGATTAGCGGGATCAGTCGGAACTGAAAGGTAGTACGACGAAAGGTTGGAACATCGGAGCGCTTTTAACAACGGACCTTACTAAATCCGGGAGAGAATGGGCGGGTTGAAAATTCTGTGCGTTTGGCGGGTTTCGCTTTCTTCCTAAATATTTGATCTTTCGGCAGCCGAAGGGACCAGACCCGGGAGGACGAAGTGACGCCGCCAGTGCCGGAAAAGACTACTTCGAGCTCTCTGATGACCATGTCTGTGGTGAGTGTCCGGGAAGCCGCAAGGTGCAGGGGCTTGGGGCTCCGGCGGCGGAGGGGAGGGGCACCGACAGCGGCTGGTCACGTGGGCAAACAGCGAATGAGGGCCTGGCCCGCCGGCCTCTGGGGCGGGGCCCACTTTGCTGCCCGCCCCCAACTGCTGTGCGATTGCGGTCTTTGCCGAAAGAACTACGAACTAGATTGGAAGTTTGGATGATGGAGCCTATTCTTTATGGCTTACAGTCGCATTTCTCCTATTATCTCCCGACCCAAAAATCACTTTTGATCCCCTGAGAAAGAAATGAACCTTGCGATTCATTTTTTAAATGACATCATAGGCCTAGCCTGGTAAATAGTGGCGAAGGATGTACTTAGTCCTCAGTCCTGAGTGAACTTCATTAGCATTTCTTTTCCTAGGTTTTACAATTCTTTAACGAACAGAGGTGAATGTTTTTATAATGTAATAAAGGTTCTTGTGTGAAGCTGCGTAGTTTATCGAGTAGCCTGTCAAGTAGCTGTAGAATTTCATTTTTAACCTGTTTTTTTTTTTCATTCAACTTTTGAGGTTAGTCATAACTTCTCTCTTGAAGGGAAATCAACCTTTCGTAGTTTATTCGGTGACAAATTTCCCATCCCCCTTCTTAAGGTTCGGGCTGCATCATTTTTTAAGGTGAGTATTTTGTAAAATGTTGAAAGCTGGGGGCTGGGCATTTAACTCAGTGTCGCCGCACCTAAAGACATGCATCTAAAAATGGTGGAACATTTTAAAATGAATATTTGAGCCCTGATTTTTAAAATGCCCAGACTTGCCTGAAAAAAATGTGGGGTGTGTGTAGAACTACAATAGCGGTGCAAGTAAGTCATCAGCTCCTGTTGGTAGTTTTGTGTTCGTGAGGGGTTGGAGGGATGATAATCTAGCTTTCTGAAACTTTTCTTGTAGGATTTTAAAACTTATGTAGACCAGGCATGTAAAGCTGCTGAGGAATTTATCAATATTTATTATGAGACAATGGACAAAAGAAGAAGGGTGAGTTCTGTAGTCTCTATTGCTCTTTGTTAAATACCAGTTCTCTTTTTGTTGTTGAAACAACCGTTTATCAGACTTGCATAAATAATAACTAACTAATTAATAATTAATTAATTAATAATAATTAACTGTTATTTAAAAGCCAGTTGCTTACGGAAGGATTGGTATGGTGTTTGTGGGAATATTATCTCTGGAATCATGTCCTAGGTTTGTCTTTACCTAGTTCCATTATCTTGGATGAGTTGCTAATTTCTCTTTGTCTCATTTTGTTTTTAGGATGGTGAACAAAAATTCATTTAAATACTGCACTTTACATAGTGCTCAGCCTAGTTGGGTGTGGTGGTGTACACATGTAATCTCAGCACAGTAGGAGGCTGAGGCAGGAAGATTGCAAATTTAAACCCAGCCTGGGTAACTTAATAACTTAGTGAGACACTGTATCAAAATAAAAAATAAAGAAAGTCCTGGGATGTAGCTCAGTGCAGGGGTCCTGGATTCAGTTCCAAGTATCATTTTTAAAAAGAGATTTTTCTTTTTAAATAATTTTTTTATAAAAAAATTTTTGTTGTGTTTTTTGAGACAGGATCTTACTATATAGTTCAGGCTGGCCTTGAACTCACTATGTAGTCTGGGCTGGGTTCGAACTCACAGCAAGTCTCCTGCCTCGGCTTCCAGAGTGCTGGGATTATAGGAAAAAATGATCTTTTCTTATTCCTATTATTTAATCCATATGGTTAAAAACATACTAGTACTAGGATGGTCTTCCATTACAGGAAGGTTTCGTGATTTGTCCTTTTAATTTCATATTATTGACAGATAATTTCTGATTAAGTCTCACAACTAAAACTGGTACTCACAGAAAGGGTCTACATAGCATAAATGCATGTAGTCTTCAACAAGCTAAATTAAGTTTAATAGGTTTTTGTAATTTATCCCTAATCTATGTAATTATTTCAGTATGTGGTCTGACGAGACTTGGGCTAGGTCTCATATCAGTATAAGACTATTTTTTTGAAAAGAACTTCTGCAAGTCCAAAATACCTTATCTTTACAAACCTGTTTTTTAAGTCAAAGGTAAAAGATGTTTCTGCTACTGATGTTTGATAACATGGAATGAGGAAAGGAATGTGACAAGAGATGTATATTGTGCCTTACTGCTTTCACAAATAAAGTAGCAAATAAGGCAACATAATTCCTTACCACCGTCAAGATAGTGTTGTCCTTGTAAGCCAAGTTAAATTTTAAAATAAAGCAAACAAAATGTTGCGTGAACCTTAACTCATTTCACTTATTAGAGGCTCCTATAAATATTCAAGTTTTGGGGGCTGGGGATTTAGCTCAGTGGTTCGGTGGTCTGCCTTGCAAGCGCAAGGACCCAAGTTCAATACCCGGTACAAAAAAAAAAAAAAAAAAAAAAAAAAAAAAACACAAAAAAAAAATCAAGTTTTTTGACCTAAATATGTTAATAGAGTAGTAGGAGAACTAAGTATAACACATATATGTAAACACTAGGATTAATGTATAGCAGGGTTTAATTGGTAATTTTATTAATTCTCAGAATTAAAAAGGGGATAAAAAACTGATTTGTGGTTTCTTGGAACTTTTGATCATTTAATTCATTTGAAAAGAAAGCAAAACTTTAAGACTCAAGATTCTTTTGCGATATTGTGTTTTCTTATTTTGGATAACAGGAAATATTAAACATATATTAATTGCCTGGTTTGTAAAAAGTCGGGTAATATCTGTTTAAGGACAAGATTATGAGACACACTCCTTGTTCACCTTGGTTTCCAGTGTCAAGGGGGCAAAATTAAGTAGAGATGAAGATAGAGCCAAGAAAGTGTTTATATACCATCTATAACCATTTAATTCACTTTTAGAATTTGCTTCCCCAGGGAAAAAATCCATTTTCTAAACTTTTCTTTCTTTTTTTTTAGGCACTTATCAGGCTGTATCTGAATGAGGCCACATTAGTGTGGAATGGAAATGTTGTTACAGGGCTGGATGCCCTAAATAAATTTTTTGAGATGTTGCCTTCTAGTGAGTTCCAGATTAATATGTTAGATTGCCAACCAGTTCATGGTAAGATTATGATTTTTCAAGGACTTCCTTTTTCCTTCATGAGCACTCAGCTTTTACACCAAAAGTATGTAGCCACTTTGATTGTAGAAGTATTTACACATGTAACCAAGTCAAGTTTCATGAAAATTTCAGCAGTCCATTCAAACTTTTGCTCTTACTTTAGATGCTTCTCTTTTCAAACAACCACCAATAGGTTTTGATGGATTGTGGTTATAGGTTATAAAGTTGTTTAAGAAATTAAGAATAAGTATATTTTTTATCAAATTGAGAGTATCTCCAGAGAAAATTTATGCCACATCTCTGATTAATGTGTTTTAATATCTTACAATCTATTAAAATTTCACTGTTACATGAAAGGATGACTTTTGGCAAGACCTTGATTCGGAGTAAATTCCTGCAGTTTGTGATATTTACCTGTACATGGAGTACTCAGTGCCTTTAGTTGTTTACAGTCATTTTTTTTTCTTTTATACAGTAGTACTTGAAGAATAGCTTAAGCAAGAATATGAATAAGCTGTACTAAAGACCTAATGAAATATTAATACAAGGAGCAGATGTTCCTATGTTAGTTATAAGCTCTTTATTTAAAGTACACTCAAATCTTTCTGAATTGAAAATAGTTTTAGTATTTTCTAAATTAGTACTTAGTTTTATGACCTTGGATGTACACATTTAAGATTATAATCTAGGTAAAGAACATTTATGAAAATTCTTTTGCATTAGATCGTAAGAAATAGAGCCTGAAAATATGCTTATTTAGAGATAGAAACTGACCTCTTTCTTTTTTGTGTGTGTGGTAAAGAGCAAGCTACCCAATCCCAGGCTACAGTTCTTGTGGTAACCAGTGGAATTGTGAAATTTGATGGAAATAAACAACACTACTTCAACCAGAACTTCCTGCTGACTGCTCAAGCCACTCCTAACAGCACTGTGTGGAAGATTGCAAGTGATTGCTTCCGTTTTCAAGATTGGGCTAATAGTTAAAAGGACAAAAGTCAACGTTTTGGTCTTTTAGGTCCAGCAACAGAAGTTTATCTGAATTAATTAATTTTGTTATAAAAGCACTATAAATTAGTTTGTGCTGAAACTAAAATTCTTCAATATTTTCTTGTTCCTAGGAGCACCTTTTCTAGTAACTGCCAGTTTGGATTGTCTGCACTAGAGCTTTAATGCTAGTTTTTGACATGCCTTATGTACATTCCACTGATAACATTCTTAAAGTAATATTAAACATATGATTTCAGTACTAACATACTCACTGTGAACCTAGCCTATTACAAAAATCCTTTTGTAATACTATCTATGGGATGTCAGCACAACGCACACCCTGGGAGGAAGTAGAATTTTTTTGGTTATTAATTTTGTGGCAAAACACATGCCTATTTTCAGTTAACACATGTAATGCAGTTTTAATATGTAAGTATAGCCTGTTCAAATCAGTTCAGTTTACATTTGCCTAACTACTCCAACATATTGAAATTATGTGTTGAAGTTTTTCATACTAAGTTTTCTTATATTGACATGTTTCCTTAACAAGTGCATTGACTAGAGGTGAAAATTGTTTTTCTTTGATACCTGATTCTTAAGTACATTTGGTGGCTTAAAAGCAGAACTTAAAAACATTTTTCTTGTTAGCTCCAGGTCTGTATATTTAGGAAATGTATGATAGAACTAATAATATATTTAATGAGAAATGTGAAAATCCAAGGTTGAAGACAAAAATAAGGGGGGGTAACTAAATGTAAAATTTTGGTATTTGTTTTCTACCTTCTTAATGTGTAGCCTATTTTTAGGATTTCAGTTGATCAGTCAGTAAGCATTATTGCTGAATGGTCAAGAGCATCACTTTTGTTCTGAGAATTTTTTAAGGTCTTTGCACTTCATTCTTGTCATCAGTATATCTCCATTTATTCCAGAACTTATAGTGGTAAAATGTCAGCAATAAGCCTGACCTGACAATGTATAACAAGGAAAGTTGAAACAAAGCCATTCCTCTATCTTTATTACACCCTTAACTTATAAGTCTTCCATGTGAATTTCAGGCCCAGAGACTTCTATGTATTGCCCACCCCAAAATGAGTGATTTCCCCCCCGTCTTTTGTACTGTCAATTATATCATTTATTATTTAAAACTAAAATTAATTTTATGACATTGGGCAAAGAGATCTATTTTAAAACACTTTTCTGTTATGTAACTAACTCATCGTCTTTTTAAAGAGAAAACAGAGAACAACAGATCATCCTAACCTCCAAAAGAACAAAATCATTTTATGTCTATACTTCTGAAGTAAAAAAACCTAGCTTTGATTTTTGGATAAAACTTATTGGTCTTTACAATTTTTTAATATCTTTAAGCTAGATATACCATCTTCATTTATACATTACAACCAAAATTAGTATCTTTATTACATTCATTTGGTCTTGCCCAAAATTATACATTATATTTCTGATATATTACCAAAATAGAATTAAATAGAAAGGAGTAAAACTGATATTTAAACCACACCTTACTGATCAAAACTTACACATTATAATATTCTACTCAAATGTGAGAGGATTCTTACTTTAGATTGTTTTGTTTTTTAAGCCACAGCTTTAGCAAGCAAAAATGTCCAAACCCTGCCCTTTCCATTGTGGCGAACTGTCTCAAATAAAAGCTGTGTATAACGAGCAATAACTGAATAGCTGTAAATTACTTTATCTAAACTATAAGTTTGAAATGGCTGGAACTGCTCTCATATGGAATAGACTGTATTTTTGAATGCTTATATTTTTATATCTTGAAAAATAAATTTTGCCTGGGACAAGTTTCTCAATAGTGTTTTAAGGTGTTTTTATTTTTGTTTTTAAGACTAAAATACATTTATATAATATGAAGGTTTTCAAATTTTTAAAAAAATCGTGTTTAAATGTTGAAAGCAGTGGTTAAATTGTGACTTTTTCTTTTTTCTTTCTGTAGCCCACTATTCTTTTTCTACTAAGTATATACATTCCTGAGATCACTTGTTTGATGTACCAGTGAAATTTTTGGTGAGAACTTAGAAAGCTTTACCTTGAGAAATTAGCCAAAATGCTATATTCAGTAGCCAGTGAAGCTAAAATATAACTGAATTTCAGAAAGAATTCCATTAACTTCAATTCTACATTTAAAAATGTCAGCAGACACTTGCTAAAAAGTGAGAAGTAATGACCTTTACAATCAATAACATTTAGTGTCTTTAAATATGCATGTGATATTCACATTTCAATCTCTGAATAGTGGTATGGATTTTAAATTGATGCCATATCACAGTTTAATTACCTTCCCTCCTCAGTGATACATAAAAGAATGGTGAGTATTATAGTAATCAGTGGCATCTTAGATGGATAAAATACACTAATAAATTTTACCTAAGTAAAAATGTTTATCTGTCTACATAGATAAAATTTGTAGGCAGTAATGGAGGCCAGTAGTAACTCTATAATGAAAGACTCAGACTCTGCCATCATGTCATTCATATTTCATGACTAGCCCATATGTCTAGAAGATCCATAGACTTTAAAAGTGTGTGAGCGTGTTCGTGTGTATCACTGAATTTGAGTCAGAGTATTTTCCCTTTTGTAATTGCCTAGTATGTACAGTTTGTCGAAAGAGGTAATGCTAATGAAGTTAAAGGATATTGCTGTATTTGAGAAAGGATGAAAAATTAAAAGCCAAGAAGATACTGAATTATATTCTGAAATTTTACTGAATTAGCTATTGCCTGAAATGAGTGAAGTAGGAAATTTGATTGACTGGGGCTTCACTTGCTGATATTTGTTTTAAAACTATTTAATATAGTGGAGAAAAGATATTCATGTTTCACCCTTGCCTATGTGTACTTTAACATAAATATGTGTGCTTTAACGCAACTACACATTTAAAGGGAAATGATAGGGCACGTCTGACTTTTTAGTTAGCTCTGTACAATAAAAGTACTTTTTTTTTCTTTTTTTGGTACTGGGGATAGAACTCGGCACCTTGTGCTTGCGAGGCAAGCAGCAGAACCACTGACCTAAATCCCTGGCCCTAAAAGTACTTTATTGCAACACTTGCTACCATACTTTTCTGTATCCTGTTAATACTTGTTTTATGCCAAATGCAGCTTTCTGCACAAAGATTTCTCAGGGCTGTATAGGTCAATCTTACATTGTAGAGAAAGACTAAAAGGTAGAGAACTACAAGATATCATTGGAATAATGTCTCAAATGGAAGGTCTTAGGATATAACAGAAATCTAGAATTGAAGTGCATGCATCCTTTAGATAGATAGCTTTCAAAATCTTTACTATGACTCAATAATGAATATATTTTATATTACCACCCAGTATACAGTTGCGTAAGTAAACCAATAAAATATATCCAAAACAAAACTCATGCTTATCATTTGCATTGCATTCCTAGCATTTTCTATTTTGATTTACTAATTATTTAAAAATGATAGCCATGACCTGCTCAGTAGATCTTTACATCTTCTTAAAAGATTGTATGAGCAGTTTAAAAAACACAAAGATTGAACAAGCGTAATATTTCCACTCTCTTTTTCTCTTAGGGATATCTGTCCAAAAGTGGTGCCATATGTCAGTGATATCACCCTAAATACAAGTGATTAAACACTTCTTTCTTCTCATAGGCTTGTCTTATGTGTTGAAAACCATAAAAGTTATCACTTTTCTTCACATTTCTCAGTTTGCACCAGAAGTTCAGAGTTAAGAAAACAAATGTTCTCATTAATCTGGAAATACAATGGTGACAATGAAAAGGACTGAAAATAGGGAAACCATCTGTTTCAGATGCTCATGCAGAGAATTAAGATATCCCAGCAGAACTACTTGAAACATGCTTTGATATTACATAGGAAGTTATTTCAATAGATTTTTAGTCAATTTCATGTACTTTTTTCCTTTCCTTCCCTCCTTGAATTCCCCCAAATAGTTGCATATCAACCTCTGGTTTGGCAAAGGTGGTGATGGTCTCTAAGAGGCAAAATCTTGCTCTCATACCCAAAAGGAGACCTGCACCCCACCACACACCATGTGCTTTGTGACTGGACAGTTCACTTATTCTGAACTTCTGTCTTTAGCTATGAATGGGATACTGTTTTCCCTATCTCACCTACCAGGTGATGTGATGATCTAATACAAAAACAAACATTAAAGTATTTGCAAAATGCCACATGCTATACAAATGCAATGATTATATTTTTTTGACTTGGTGATTGGCTTCCTGTCTTCCCTAAATTCTGTTTCTTTTAGGATAAATCAATTGACAAAGATGACAACCTTGCCACTGCCTTTACAAGACAGTTATTCTAACTTTACAAAGTCTTGATCAACATAGAGCTGGCTATGTTACTGTTTCAAAAACGAATTTAGGCCTGCTATGTTTATCCTTTCTTACTGTCATAATAAAAATTTTTTAAATAAAGGAAGTTTTGTTACTTATATACATTATATTGTATATTTTTATGTCACCCAGGACAATTTCTCTTCACTCACACAAAAAAGAAAGGATACAGTTTGGACCATCTTGATTATGGACCCTAAAGAAAAGCAGTGATGCCATTTGCAATTTTTTTGTTTGTTTGTTTTTTGGTGCCGGGGATCGAACTCAGGTCCTTGAGTTTGCAAGGCAGGTGGCAGAACCACTGAGCTAAATCCCTGGCCCCATTTGCAAATATATTTTAATAGGTCTTTCTGTAACCAGAAAAAAATTGGACTGTAACATTATTAATTTCAACTTATTTTTTATTTATTGCAGGCAACAGCACCACTGAGCTAAATCCCCAGCCCCACTAATTTCAATTTTCTTGTTCAAGAGTGGGAAATCAGCCATAGAATTGTGAAACACTTAACCAAGCCCACAAACCATGATCTGCCTTGGAGCCATGAGCTGCCAGTTATGGCCAATATGGTCCTTTTTTCCCTGACCCTTTGTTCCCCCAAACCCTAGCCTGTGATTTCTGAAAGGTCCGCTGGTAACAATTTCTATAATTTGTTAATCTTACTTATTTCCAGTGGTCTGGCACCAATCTCAGAGAAAATGCAAACCTAGGAAAAGAGAACAGAGTGGAAATTAGGAAGAGGAGGTGCTGGCGGAGGTAGGCACAATTTGGGAGATACTGTTTACAAATAAAAAAAAAAATAGTGGCAGGAGAAACCAGAAAAATAGCTTCCCCTGTACTGATAATTTCTAATAACTCTGGAAGAGAAGCCACAGCAGTTAAGGAAGGCCTAAGACCTGAAAATGAGAACTCAAGCTAAACTATGTATACATTTACAAATACTGTCTGGGAGGCCAATGGCAAAACTAGGACCTGGGAGACCTACTTCCGTGCCCCATTCTCCCATTCTGAGACCCAGTACTGTTAAGTCTTCCCAAAGCCTCCACTATTGCACACTGAAGCTATCCTCTCCTCTCCTGAATTCTTTTCTATCCCATCCAAACTTCATTGCTCTGAGAGTAATTCTCTCCTGCCCAACTTTATCTTTCAAGTTAAATTTGTTAACACATAGACTTACTATAGAGTCAATTCGCTTTTATCTCGACTTGTATTGGTTAAAATTCCCATTGCTGGGCAAAATACCTAACGCCCACAATTTAAAGGAGAAGTTTACTTAGCTCATGGTTCCAGAGGATTCCATCCATGATTACCTGGTTTAAAGAAACATCATGGCAGAAGGGCATAACAGAGCAAAGCTGCTTAGTTCATGGTGGTCGTGATACAGAGGCAAGGTGAATGAGTGTCATAGAAGAAGGGGCCGGGAACCAGATATTGTACCCAAAATCATGCCTCCAGTACACACCCAGACATGCCCAGAAATATGCTTTACTAATTCCCTAGTTCACTCCCAAGCTATCAAATTGACAAGCTGAACTGTCACAGGGTCATGACATTTTGAATATAAGTACTTCAAGCTGACTAAGCCATTTTCTGTCTTTAGATATATCAATTTTCCATATTTTTCTGTTAAAAACTGCAATATTTAATGTCTTTGTACACATATTGTATTTATGTGAAAGTTTAATGGATACAGTTCTAGAAGTAGAACTGTTGGGTTAAAGCATAAACGCATTTTAATCTTGCTTAAAACTAACAAATTTCCTACAAATATGCTCTAGCAATTCATACTCTCAAAATGTATATGAGTGCTCATTTTCACATACTCTTATTCACACTGGACATTTTTAAATTAAAAAAATTTCCAAAGTCAAGGGTAGAAAAACAATATTATGTTTTAGTATTTCTTTACTAGAAAATGTAATAACTCTAGACCACTTCTCTCTACTTTCACCAATAACCCTGGTCTAATCCATTATAATCTTTTGACTCTATCATTGTTCAAACTTACCATCTGATATTCCTGACCCTATCCTGCCTAACTCTAGTCCCAATTCAACAGCAAAAGTCATGCTTTAAAATACACAAGTCCAATCATGCCACTCTTCTCAGAATTGCCTCTCAGCCATACCTCTGCATCTCAAGTTAAGTGAAGATGTAAGTCCTTTCAAGTGCCTGCAATCTTCTCATGATCTGGCCGCGACTGCCTGTCTGATCTCATCCTTCTCATATTTACTCCACTCCAGCCACTTAGCCTCTTTTCTGAATGTGGACTAGTCTAAGGCAAAACATCTTGTGATATTTGCCTCTGCCCACTATGCTGTTCTACCAGCTATTTTCCTTCACATTTTAGGTCTGCTCAAATGTCACCAAATCAGAAATCCTCTCTAAATTATCATTTCCTCCATAACCTTCCTCCATCCTCCATCACCTTCTCTGC